TAGTTAGGTAGTTACGTCCCCGTACGTACGTTAGTTAGTTAGTTAGTTTAGTTTTTAGTTTAGTTAGTACTTAACTTACCTTACGTACTACTCTAAGAGTGCGTCTCTCTCTCTCTCTCTCTCTCTCTCTCTCTCTCTCTCTCTCAATGTGTGCGTAGGCATTTACGAGCGAACAAAATTTTCTATCGGGCAAGACCCGAGATAGGCTTTTATGAAAGGGCGCAGGTTGTACAAGGTAAGCAAGACTGTAATGTCTTACGCTTTTAGTTGGATGGTGTAGATTTTATAAAAAAAAAAATAACACTCTTTTTAATATAGAGATAAATCCACAACATTTGTATAAATACTTCAACCCTTCGTAAATAAACTTTTTCCTTTATCAAAATATTTTAGTCTCCCACCTCAAGTTTGCCTCCCTTCACGTTAAGTTCGAAGATAGTAGAAGCTTTTGGTTGATCGGACTGATGTAGAGAGAGACTCCCAAATTTTCGGTTTTCAGGGCAAGTTCGAATTTCAAAAACAAGATTCGGACCATACGACGCTAGTGGTCCAATTTTGATTCGTTCTATCCGACCTAAGTGATTCCCAAATCAAATCAATTTGCATTTAATAAATAAGTTAAAAAAAAGAGAGGCTAAAACCTGCGATGATCAAAATAATTCCAAGAGTCAAAGGTGATTTCATGTCAGATCAGCAATTATTAAAGGACCTAGTATCTATGGGGCGAAGCCTGTATATGTAGAAACGTGGGCCTCTTAATAAATCTATTTTTTGACATGCATTTTAAGATTTAATTTTGAAGGACATGTAATCTCTAACATGAATATCAAGAATATGAGAAAATAAATAAATTTCAAAAAATAGAAATAATAATTCTAATAAGAAAACATTTGGACCGTCAGTTTTCATTGTTTTTAGACGGAACACCAATTTACATCCATCTTTAAGATGGATAATTTGCACTTTCTAGACCACATATGTAGAAATACGGTCCAGCCCCAATGAAACAATTTTCTATTAATAAATCACTCATTAAACTAGTGGTCCAAAATGCTTCAAAATGGATTTCTCAAATTGTAAAAATGGTCTATTGCCATAACAAGCACCCCCAGCTCCTATTGCATACAGAATTGACAAAGCAACAACCTGTCAAACCGCCGATGTAACTTTCTACCCTATCGCATTCTCTCTTTGTTTTAAGAAAAGGTTAGATTTGAGTAAGGTGTCAACCTTCTACTGAAGTAAGGTGCGCCTCAAAACTATGCCGAAAATATACTTTTAATGCTGCAAAGTCATGCAATGATATAAAAATCTATTGTTGCTTCAATTATGAAATTTAAAGTTCTAGAAATAGTGACGATCAAGTAGATCTATAAATACTTGAAAATATTGAAAATCGATGGTCCAGATAATGTGGTAGAACTATTTTTAGGACTACAAATTCCTTTTTTTTTTTTTTTTCTATGTTTATGGATTTCAAGATCAAGATGATCAATTTGAGGGCTTTCTAGCGTACGAATAACATTCACTAATGAGTTTTTTAGGTGCACATTACCTGTACAGTATAAGGTTGAGATCTTATATAAATTTTTCCTTTCAAGAAAATGGAAAAATTTACATAAAACCGCCACTTTTACCACGGCAGTACCTCAAACCCCACCGCTTCAATGGATTGAGCACCAAAAAATGTAGGGTGCGGTTTGTATAAGGTTGAGGCTCTAAACAATCAAAGTAAGGCGTACGTCTAAATGATGTTCAAAGAAGATTTTCCAAAAGCGAAAATCTTTGTGATGGTCTCAAAATTTATTTTCATTTCTAATTATAAAATTTAAAGCTTCAAAAAATACTATAGATCGAGTAGGTCTATAAACACTTGAAAATATTGAAACTTGATGGCCTAGACAATACATTACAAGTTGCATTATTTTCTAGACTTGAAATCCATTTTTTTTCATGTCTATATATCTTGAGGCTAAGATGATCGATTTGAGGGTTTTTCAACATCGAAACAACCTCTTCTAGTGAATTTATGATGCATGTTGTGATTTGATTGTTTAGGGCCTAAACCTTGTATAAACCTTTTTTTTTCCAAAAACTCTGTAGAATTCCAATAATTATATTTCAACACCAATATTACAGCTTTGGAGCTCCTAAAATGGTGCAAAATTATTAATTTAGTATCTTATAAAATGGATGGTTCAGATGAAGTCTTGATAGGGTTTTCTAAGTCCTACTGTTCACAAAGTTGATCTTGAGAGTCAAGAGACTAAATATGGAATACTTCATCCATCCCGAACCATAAGTTCGGAACTACTTTGATTTCTTATAAAGATGGAATGATGGGTCCGAACCGCTTATTGACACACAAGCGTAAAACGTGAAATATAGGAGGCCTTAGTTTTTAAATACCACTAATTATAATGTTCAAATACCACTGGTTATAAGGGATATTAGACTAAAATTCCTAAGATAAAATATAGCTGTTGAAGACACATATTTAAAACAGGGTGACGTTTGTCCAAGGCACTCTCCTTCTACTGCCTCTAAATTTTGCTTCGGAGAAGTAGGTTTTGGTGTCAGAAACCTTTTCATGGCTTAAAAATCTATTTCCATCTTTAATTATGAAATTTGAAATGCTGATAATGGTTCAAATGAAGCAAATATGTAAACATTTCAAAATCTAACAAATAAATAGTCTAGATAATTTGTTATAAAGTGCAGTACTTTTAATATCTACAAATTCTTTTTTCTTCATTTTCGTACATCTTGAGACTAAGGATTAAATTTAATGGTTTCCCAATGTCGAAAACTGGATTTTTGAGATACATACCTTTTCAAAAAGATAAAAAACAAGCAAGGGAATCACCAGTATTTTGCCACATTCATCTATAAAATACAGATATTTCGGTTACTCATTTTTATTATTGTTATTTTTTTAAAGATGGGCAATTTTGTCCACTGCCCTCTCAAAGAGTTATAAAGACCTATGTTACTGAGGCATATCCTTTATTTTCAAGTTTCACAATGTGCATCAATTTTCTCGAGAAAGAGAGGAAAAAAAAAAAAAAACTATTCGCCAAAATTACCAAAGCACAGCATGATTTCTAGGAATGACCAATAATATATATAAGAAGTGAACCAGATCCATTGAAAGGAGTGAGTTAATTGGTCATTGCAGAAGAATAATGGTTTATATGTTTGTTGTTTCAGAGCCACAATATAATTTACCCTACCATTTGTTATCCAACTCCTTCCCCTGAAGATTAAAAATAGTGATGAATCTAAAAAAGGTAACTTCATCATACCTATAATATCGTTAGGGTGCGGTTTGTATAAGGCCGAGGCTCTAATCAATCAAAAAGCAAAGTGCACCTTTAAATAGAGTTGAAAATGTGGTTTCAATACTGGAAATCTTTGTTATAGCCATAATATATACTATCGTCTCTAATTATAAAATTTTAAGCTTAAAAAATAATATAAATCAAGCATAGCTATAAAAACTTGAAAATCTTGAAAATTGACCGTCCAATTAATGCATTACAAAATGCACGATTTCCAAAACTTGAAATCTATTTGTTTATCATATCCATGTATCTTGAGTCAAGATGATCAATTTGAAGATTGCGGGGCATCAATAGTGAAAATTTAAAGGTGTGTACTAATTTGATTGTTTAGAGCCTCACACTTGTATAAACTTTTTCCATATCATTACCATTGCCCATCGTACATTGACTTCTTATTCTATGTTTTATCTATGGGTGCGGTATGTATAGAGCCTAGGCTCTAAACAATCAAATTAGAACCTACCTTCAAATAGTATTGAGAAATATGATTTCAATACGAGAAATCTTTATGATAACCTTAAAATATATTTTTATATTTATTTATAAAGTTTAAAGCTTCAAAAAATAGCATCGATCGACATATCTATGAACACTTGAAAAATATGAAAATTGATAGTCCAAAAATATGTTACAAAATACACTATTTCCAAAAGTTGAAATCCATTTTTTTCTCATTTCCATAAGTCTTGATGTCGAGATGATCAATTTGAAAATATTTGGACATCAAAACAACCTCTTCTAGTGAGAGTTTTGAAGTAGACTCAAATTTGATTGTTAGAGCCTCGGCTTTATATAAACTTTTCCCTATAATCTATTTCCACTAGAAATACATGGCTGGAAACTTTGTGATGGCTTCAAAATTCATATTCAACCTTAATTACAAAATTTTAAATTTCAACAATAGTGTATATCGAACAAATCCATACACACTTGAAAATCTTAAAAATAGATGGTCTGGATAGCTTATTACAAATATATTATTTTTTGAGACTAAAAATTTCTTTTTTTAAAAAAAATCCACACATTTTGAAGTTGATCAATTGAAAGGTTTTCCAACTTCAAAACACTTTCCTACTGGATTTTTGAGGTGACCTTAGTTCTATAGCATAAGGTTGCATTCTTAGATAAACTTTTACCACAAAAGAATCATGCATCTCAACACTACTCTTGTCAAAACATTCTAACTTCAAACTCTTCATTGAAACCTCAGTAGGGGAGCATGCACCGAACATCCATTAGATGGTATGCGCTCTGCTTTCTTTGATTCACTACTGGCTCAGAGCATGCGTAGACAGACACTTAAATGGCAGGCCAAAAAATTAAACAGTGGACCAAATTTCAGGGCAAACTTAAAAGCAAATCTGTCCAAATCACAGGATAGTAATTTCATGCCAAATTTCAGGAATTCCACCTGACTATGGACCAATCATATTCTGAGTTTGTCAGCCAATATAACTCTCTAGAAGCCAAATCTACATGATGAATCAAGAGTGCATGTGCTTAGTAGATCTGAACATGAGATCATTGATTTTCTGAAGGGGGATATCAGAGATCGGCTCAATTGGCTGCTCACCATCATGAGACGAGATCATAGGAGCAGGCTCCCTTGTATATTCATCTGCAAAGGGAAGCCTTTCAGAAAACACAAACAAATGAACTAATTGGCGGGTAGCACAATGTAAAGTCTAGAGTTCCTTCCAGATCCCATGTCAGCATTCCAAAAAAAAAAAAAGAACAAATAAATATATAGAACCAATGTAGAAACCCATATCTAATGCAAAGCTACTAATTTATCAAAGAGACCTACCAAAAATTGTGCTTACAGAAGTTGGAGGAGGTGTTATCATGAAGTTCAGGCCAACATAAAAGCCCATTAATGAAACAACTATAACCAAGCCATATGCGGGTACTGCCAATGCCCAATATCTGAAACAAGATCAAACTTGTTGGTTATGGACACTTAATTGCATCTCAAAACTTGGCATAACATATGACCAAGAAAAGGAAGTATAGATTACTGAACAGCAATTAACCTGATGAAGGCATCCATAATTATCCTTTTTTTGGAAAAAAATAAAGCTTAAAATAATCACTCTCCTTGGGCCTTAGACCAACCAACCATATAACAATCAATGTGATGATCGATGACCACAATATCCTTCAGGTAAACACAACATAAAAAACATAAAAGCACAATATCAACTCTATAACAATTCAGTAGCATGTACTGTCCAACACACATCATGCTGTTGTTCTAGAATCAAAGGTTAATAGTTCCCACTTTGCTACAACATATTTATCTGCCTAAGATGATGGTTTCAATAACTAAATCCCAGGTTCTCTCGTGGTAGTATGGAGATGATGTGATGCTACAAATGAGTTTTTCCACTCATTAATTAACCATTAAACTCATTCATGCAAAACCAGATTACTAGGTAAACTGCATTCAACCATAGACTTTGACAAAATATAGAATTCAACCAACCATCAAATACACTCATGACAACCAGATTACTACAACAATAGAATTCAACCATAGACTTCCACAGAACATAGAATTATGGTGAGCTTAAAGTGCATATGGATGTTAAATAAAAGAGGTTGATCCTATTACATCTAGAGAGCTACGAATATGTCTATTTCAGTGTCAAATTTGAAATAATTCATGCCTTTGCTCTTCGAAGAAACATGAGGAGCTCCTGACAAGACAAAATTATTTAATACCTTATCATTGGAGCAGCCATGACATTTAACAGTAAATGGTACGGGATGATTAATCAAACAAATGATTAAGTATATATTATACAGTAATGGAAAATCAGATCCTCAACGATAACAAATGAATCAATATATCTTTGATGCAGAGTTTGCTTATCACATGTACATTTGATGTTCAACCAAACAATTAAACACAAACACAGAAACTCGTATATACACACACAAAAAGAAAAAACAAAAGAAAAGGAAAGAAAAAGAGGGTTGGGGAGGGGGCCACGCTTTGATCATTCCCTTCAGCATTATAAATAGCTGAAGAAGATGAAACCACAAATTACTCACCTATTCGGGTAGTATGTTACTCCTAGGAATGCAGGCAAGGTTCAGGGATGTAAAAAAAAAGAAACGCAAAGAAAAAAGAGGGTTGGGGCAGGGGGGTTGCACTTTGATTGTGCCCTTCGGCATTATAAAAAGCTGAAGAAGGTGAAATCGCAAATTACTCACTTATTCGGGTAGTATGTTACTCCTAGGAAATGCAGGCAAGGTTCAGGGATGTACGCCCATGCCAAGAATACAACTGGTCATAAAAAAATTGAATAATATTAATCAGTTATGAAGACTAAATTGAGGATAGTTTTAGAACAGGAAAATGAAAGGCAAGCGGCATGTAGATATTGAGATGCATCTACAATTTTATCTTTTTGATGGCTTGAGATACATTTTTAAGTTTCAAATCTCAACTAAAAATTTGATGTTCTCATTTGAACTGTTCATATTCGTCACACACCAATTAAAAAATAAAATAAAATAAAAAGTACACAAAAGAAGTAATTAACAAATAAAATTTCAATGGTGCATACCAACTGTGCTATCCATTCCAAACCTCTATTAGCTCTTCCTTTAGTTCCCATCATTCTCGACTTTAACTCCTACAATACTTCTCCATCTTCACTTATCTTATTCAAGATAACCCCAATACCCACAAAACAGCATAAAATTGAGCTTGTACACTAATGAAACAATAAAATTTTAGTGGAGCATTTCAAATTACTATGCACCTCATCAAACACCTCCATTAGCTCTTCAAGCCCGAAAATTAGTCTTGATCATTCTCCACTTTCCTACAGCACTTCTCAACCTATACTGATTACTTTCTGCGATAATCCCATCAACATGATCTCTTTATTAGGAAAAAATCACAACCATTTCGTACACAAAAGATGTATAACTTCCTATGTTCCCCTACAAAACTACCTCTCTTTTCAGTCCCCGATGTTTCTTCCCAATTAACAAAGTGAATGGAAGTCCAATTGTCAGACGAAACAATGATGTTCAGATTAGTGTCATGTTTTGTGCTGAACGAAAACTATCATTATTGTATTTCGTGAAAATCTGATTCTACAATTAACAAAAAAATCTACAATTGGAAGGCCAAAAAAAATGTTGAGGTTTAAAGATAGAGAGGAATTCAAAAGCATCGCAAAGCTAAATACAACTGTATCAACAAAATCATCACAAAATGGATGAAACTGTAACCTGTGGCAACAACAGTGGTAATGGAGCCAACAAATCCATAAACCTCGGAGGGCTTTGGACCATTCTCTTTTGAAACACCAAACCCAACTACCCTCTCATCTGAATCTGATATGGAGAGGGTCCCTTTCTCCTTAGACAAAGACAAGGTTCTTCTGGGACTGTTTAATGATGAATCAGACATGATTCTCCCTCTATCTGGGGAAAAAGAATAAAGAAAAAAAAAGAAAAATCAGGACAGCAGTGACAAATAAAAACCCAAACAATTCAATTATATTCAAAGCCAAAGGTGGGTTCTTCAGATAATCCAACAATTAAATTTTCTGTACGGTAACATGGAAAGCCATATATATGGCAAGGTTTGTGCAACTGCAAAACTCTACTCTCCCCATAGATTTTAATTTTATTCAAACAATCTATAATTTATTCACCACAAGAAAAAACAAAGCTAAAGAAATAACAAATGAACTAAGCATTCAGCAAATCCATCCTTTTTTGTATGTTAATAAAATCCGAACTATTTGTTGAAAAATCTAGAAAGTTTATGCTTCTCAAAAATGAAAGTTCAGTGCTTTGAAGTAGGAAGGCCCCAAAAGAGTCTCACCATGAACTCTAAGTTTACTGTTTCCCCAAATAACAAACACATAATTTCTTTATACAAACCGTTTCTAAAACTGAATCAAATAAATAACAAACACATAATTTCTTTATCCAAACTGTTTCTAAAACTGAATCAAATAAACTATTCAACAAATACATTAACCCGTGCTTCACACACTTTCAAGAAATTAGAAGAGCACCATTTTACATGAGTTCCCTCTGCAAAAATACTTATTGCCTAATGATCCCCATAATTTCCATTAGGGAAGCAAATTAGTCATCACCTCCAATGAGTGAAGCCCAAGGCTCACTGTAAAAATGATAATTTCAGCAATATAACGAATTTGATTTGAGAGTGATATTTTGATTATCCCACCAATCGTTTGCAGAAATTTTCCTTTATTTGAGGAAGTACACATTTGTAATCCATCGCCTCCAAGCCTGTAGCTGGAAGGTTAGGATCAACACAGGTTTTGTGCGGTAATTTAGGGAAATTTATCGGAATACCCATTAGAGATGAACTCTTCAACATTTTACCCAGTTTGTTTGATTTACTTTCAAAATGTCCACCAAAAGACACATTATTAAGAGTTGGAACAGTTGCAAATGTGTAGTATGTTAAATAATGCATCCTCAAGAGACCTTAAAAAATTTTCCCCATAATTTATTTATCATAACGGGGACCTTTGGGGGAAAAGGAATAAACCTGATTTTGGGTATGTACAATCCACTCCCAAGTTTATCATTGGTCAGTTTCATGACAAGAATCAGTCAAAGTTCATAAATTAAACCTGTAAGAAAAACCATCCCATCTGTGAGGTGGACAATTCCTACTGAAAATCGTGGAAATTATCTATTTTTTGGGTTTTGAATTTCTCTCAAAATTGTAGTCTTATCCACATCGGGAATTGTCTGGACTGGGTTGGTTAAACAAAACAGTTAATTCTCTCTTCAAATGAACTGTCGTAATGTTGATTTCTCGCTAATATAAACCTCCAACTGGTTAGCTTCATCTGACACATTTAACATGCACTTGGTTAGCATCAATCGACACATTTGACATGGATTAGTTCATAGGTTGAACGGTGTCTTTTAAAAATTGCTGAGGCCACTGGTCGGTGGGAGACCTCGTTCTAGGAGATCACATAATCGCCTTAGTCCTCCGATTTTCTATTTTCTCTTTCCTTATTTTCTGATGTATCCATACAACAATCCGACTTAAGAATTGCCCAAGTTAGATCAGTCGACTAGACTAGAACTCAATCCCCCTAGTGACGCATATGATTCCAATTTTTTGAACAAATGTATTGAACATAACGGACATTCAGGTAATTGGGGCTTCCTTTATGAACCTCCACATCCTTATTTCATTTGTTTTCCCTCCCTCTATTGATACCCTTTCCTTGAAGCCAAATAAATTTTTTTTCTTTACGCATTGTTTGGCTGCATAAGTTAATAAGCTTATATTTTTTTAATGCAGTGAAACAACGGGTAAAGAAATCGCAGTATAAGTTTTAAGGGATCGTCATCTGTACGATCCTATAACAAGGGAGCAGGATCCTTGTCATAGGGAAGCGCGATTCCATGAGGAAGGAATCGCAGTATAAGTTTTAAGGGATCATGAATGATGCATGGGTTCTCAGTACCATCAGGTACAAACTTGAATCAATGCATATGAATCAGTGCTGAATAGAGAAAACATCATATGCACCGAATCATACACTTAAGAACCGTGGTTCAAGCCCACTGGGAACAAGGATCACAATATCAGGATCCGTGTTCCATCCAAGATCCCTAGTTCGAATCATGGGATTGAGGTTCTGGAGCAGGTCCGTGACCTTTCCTACAAGGTTCCAGCAACTACGGTTGGAACATATATTCATCCTCTTATCCTCCTCTTGCAGTCTGAATCCCCAACGGGCTGGGCCTGGGCTAGGCCAGCCTTAGCCTTGGGCCTGCCCTTGTCCCCTTAGGGACAATTGAGGAAATAATAGAAGAGAAACAAGAAAAAAAGAAGAGGACCGTGCCGGGATGGGCCAGCCTTGGCCCTGCCCCCGCCCTCAAGCCACATTTTGTGGCCTAGGCCCTACAATTTTAGGGCCAGCCCACCCAGCCCATTGCCAACCCTACCCAATATTCAATGGTTTCCCATACTCCCATTTCTTCTTTTCCTCTCTTCGATTTATTATGTTGTCCTTCTCTCCACAGAATCAAATTCGTTTTCTCATGATGCCTCATATTACCTCTTCCTCAAAATACAAGAGTTCTTCAAAGACATTGAGGGACCCTCCTTGCCCCTTCCAACATTGTGCCATGATTATTCTCTCCATTTCAGAATCCACTCCATCTAAAAGTTTCTTCTTCATGAGAACTACTGTTGACAGTACTGGCCCTTGCATTGCCTTTTGGTTTGTCCAAACAAGGGACAATCACAAGAATATTGGGAAATTGACTAAATTCTTCTCTGACCCTGGGAAAGGTCATGACACTGGAAAATAATGTGGCCAAACCGCACATGCTTCTTGCAAGTACAAGCGCCTTTTTGGAATTAAAACTTTTGAGGAGGACCAAAGCAAGGAGCTTTAGGCTTACACGTTTATTCTCACCAACTGGTTAGAGGGCAAGGCCATTTGCTATGAGGAATATCGAGAACTGTTTTGATTTGGAACATAAAGGGTCATACTCAAATTCACTCTACTAGATGACATGAGTTTAAGATGCGGACTATTGCAACACTATGGCCCAAGTTTGACTCATATGGCTGAACTAACCTAACAAAAAAAGACGATGACATGGTTTTGGTCGAGTGAACCAGCCATCCGGGAAACCAGTCCAAATCTGCTAATTCTCCCAGGCTAAGAATCGCTCAATAAAAGGAAAAATAAAATGAAAGATAAAAAATGTTCGAACCAGGCAATCCGGCACCAGAATGATTAGTGGTTACCACCGGAAGCCGGTTCGGTTACCACAGTTCCCTAATCGCCAGTGTTTCCAACATTGGCTTAAACCCACAAATCCATAAAAAGTGATTGACTCCCTAGAAGCAGAAATGGTGATCTACAAATCAAACTCTATATGCTAAGTTTAAGTTTAGTTCTCTTGCATAGAAATATAAATGAAGCAATCACTAACATAAAAAGATTTAAGTCTATTTGTGGAATAAACCCACCATGTAAATAGTTTGGTTGAAGAAGAAACAAACAAGAAATAAAATATCATGTTCATAATCACATATATTTGGAAAGAGAAAGAAGGCCCACAATCTAAATTTGTACCCACAATTGCTTCAATAGCAAAAAACATCATAGAATTCAACATAAAAAATCAGAATAAGAATGCATTGACCACAATTCAGCATACTGAACTGTTGAGCATTTAGCACACAAAAGGTTCCCAAGGACGAAAAAAAAGACAATGCTGGAAATGTACATGCTCAACCAGAAACATAACCACCCAGTACTATTGAACCATAAATCTAATGATTACCGCATGACTTCCAGTTTATTTCGAAGGAAATCAAACACAATATAAGCGAATACAAGATAAACAGAAATCATTTTCAGTATTCTCAAATTGCTGGAGCAGTGTCAAATTTAAAAACCACTCACAAAATAGGGCCCCCAAAACAGAAGGAAAAACAAACAAACTAATAACTCAGACTTGAAACTAACCAAAAACGCTCATGGAACTGAATCAAGCCATCATAAATAGTAACATAATGATATTTGACATGTTAACTATGAAAAGAGAGAGTAAATAAAGTTTTATAGCATAGACATTGCCACGCTCATATGAATCAAGTAAAACTAGCAATAAAAGAAGGAAGCTGCCCAACTAGACATGCAAATTACAGTCAAAATGATCAAGATAAGCCCTAGAATGGACGAAAAAAAAAACCCTAAAACACACTGTAATATGAAAACATACCTGAAGCCTGTATAGTAAGGCCTACGAGAGAGAACTATGGTTGCAGTCCTGCTGCTGCAGCAGTATGAGAGAGAGAGTTTTGGGTCGGGCCAGAGAGAGAGACCGGAGAGAGTAATTGCTACGGGAGAGGGAGAGATATTTTCGGGAGAGAGAGAGAGCGGAGAAGGAAGGATTTTCAGGAGAGAGACATATTTCGTTTTGGCTCAAAAAGGGAGGGAAATAGTTAATAAAAATACATTTTCCTTTTTATTTTATTTTCTTTATTTTGAAAATGGTTTGACAGGACTGCAGCCCCGTCAAAAGTCGAAAGCTCATCACATAATTCATGAGAAATCGCATCAGAAAACCTTTACAACAATTATCTCCAATTATAAATTAGATGGTTGGTACAAAAAAAAAATAGGATTTAAACTTTTAAAAATAGTGTGAATGGTAGCAAATTTTTGAAACCGACCATTCCACCTCAAAAATAGATTTTCATATATTTATAGGGTGCAGCTTGTATAGAGCCTACGCTTTAAGCCAATGGTTTAAAAAACAGATGGGATGTTCGGATCGGGTACCCCAAAAACTTATCTATATCGGTGGATCGACGGAAATCAGCCCAATCAGTTGGGTCAAGCTTTAAAAAATATATAAAAAAATAATTAAAATTCATTATAAATGTTTTTTTTTAATAATCCAATAAGATATCGGGGTACTACATTATTATTTTTCATTAATATGTGAATATTGAGATTTTTTTCCTCTGTATGAATTTATTTTGATCATTAAATTACATCACAAAAAATAAAAATCATAAAATTATCATGGATAAAGTATATAATCATACATGACCTACAATAAATAATGGTTTTTTTATAAGAATATTTTAGTTTTTTTTATAAAAACCTTTTATTTTTTTTACAATAAATGTTTGTCGTATTACAATTTTTTTTTTTTTAACAATAACATTTTTTTTGACAAAAAATACTTGTTGTATTATTTTTTTTATAATATTTTTTTTTTTGACAATAACTTTTTATTTTTTTACTTCTCGAGGGGATTCAAACCAACGCCCTTCACATGCAAAAGATACTTGATACGTAATAAGCCACATGCTACTTGATGATATTAAAAGCGCAAATAAAGTATATAATATATTAATGTTTCAAGTTAATACCTTCACATTATCCCACATCGGAGAGGTAGAATGAAGTTGTAGTGAATAAATACCTATTTGTAGCCAACAAAATTAATGTGTGCGAAGTGAGGAGAGTCATGTGGCGGGGTGTGCGGACCTACAAAAATGCCCATTGAATAGTTGGTTTTCGAAGAAAAATGCCTTTATGTACTTTTTAAAATTTACAAAAAATGCATGGACAAAATTTGCAAAAAATGCATGGAATTTCAAAGAAAAATGCCACATGGCGATTTATGGCTTGGAATCGCCAGTTCTTTTCGAGACTTACGGCTCTTGCGGGCTACCAATGCGGGTTGTCGGTTCCAAATTCGCCGGTATCAGGCGACTGTCGGTTTTCGACTCGCCCGCTGACTTTTGGCAAGATTCGGTCCGTCCACTTTTGGCAATTTCTAGTATTTCACTGGAATTGGCACGGGTCTACCTGTTCCCAAGTCGAATCGGGCGATTGCGGTTCGACTCGCCGACTTTTGAATCACTGCTTTAAACAATCAAATTAGAGTCTACCTTCGTTTTACTACTAGAAATCCATGTGATAGTTTTAAAATATATTTTCATACTTATTTATAAAGTTTAAAGCTTAAAAAAATCTTGAAAATTAACGGTCTAAATATCCATTACAAAATGTACTATTTCCAAAACTTGAAATCCAAATTTTTCTCATGCCTATGCATTTTAATGTCGAGATGATCAATTTGAAGATATTTGAGCATCAAAACATCTACCAATGAAATTTTTAGAAATCAATGTGATAGTTTTAAAATATATTTTCATATTTATTTATAAAGTTTAAAGCTTAAAATGTATAGATCAATAGATCTATGAAAATCTTGAAAATTGACGGTCTAAAAATTCATTACAAAATGTATTATTTTCAAAACTTGAAATCCAATTTTTTCTCATGTCTATGCACCTTAATGTCGAGATGATCAATTTGAAGATATTTGAGCATCAGAACATCTACCAATTAAATTTTTAAGATAAGCTCAAATTTGATCGTTCAGAGCCTTGGCTCTAGATAAACTTTCTAAACTTTTTCCATACTTTATAAGATCTGTACTATTTTTTAAGTTTCCAAATTTATAAATTAATTTTACATCCATCACATATATTTCCAATTCAGAAAGTGATTTCCAGATGAAGATTTGAGGTGGGACTTTTTTTATTTTCATGAAGCCTGGGGTAGAAACTTCACCCCTTTTTTTTCCAATAGTTTAGATTCTACTGCATCAAAAAGCCTGCCTTTTTAATTTTTGGCCGTCCATTTGCTTTCATGAAAATGTCATCCGTTCGTATGAGACTATTGTGTCAGATATTTGTTAATCAGGTTATTCATATGCTACATGCACCATAGTCCAGATCTAAAGTTCTGAATACAAATGAAAGAACACTACTCCAGCCGCATGATGTCCTCCTCTCTCAAACCGCCATTTTCAAAACCCATCTCTCTTTCTGCGTAAGCAAGTTAATGAAACTATGACCTATTAACCATGGCCTCGACTTCATTCTCTCTCTCCCCCATACCGCATACCCATCACCCCAAAAGGCATTTTTCCATTAAAACTCCACCCCTATCAGTGAAAACCCCATTCCTCCCCTATTTTGATGGCACATTCAAATGGGTTTCTCCATTAAGGCCCCGTACTCCAATTCTTTGCGATAACACCACATCGGAAAGTTCCAATGGTGAAGAATTTGATGAGTCGGTCCTAGCGAAGGAGGCAATTGCAGAGATGCTTCTTCAACTCGAGGTTTCAGAAGAAGAGGTTCAAAGTATAGCTAACAACTGTCCTAAGTATATTGGAATGGTTATTGATGGAGTGCATGAATTAGATGAGCTTTCCTTGTGGGATTCATGGCAAATTGATAAAGAAATTATTGGTCATCTTTCTTTCAAGAGGAAGTTTGTGTACATGGTTAAAGAGAAAGGGGATAATGGGATTCTCCCATTCCTTGAGAGCATTGGTTTGAACCCCTCGTCATCAACCCATATCGCTCGATATTTATCTTCCGAGAAGCTCATCGATCTCATTGCCAAAGTATTATGGAATTACAGTAACTCCCAACTTTATTGTTTTTCTCGTTGTTCTATTGAAATAACAACTGTAGTTTTGTTGCTTTCCATCTCTCTCATTGGTCTCTTCTTGATTTAGTATCCTTATAACTTTTCATGGGTGGCTCAGTATTTTACATCTGTGTGATCATTATTTCAGTTAATATTTTCACCATGGTCTCTTAATTCTCTCTTCAAGTGGGCGTAAGAGTCACTTGTAATTGTATACACACTTTAAAAAAGAAACTGTAAAATTTGCACTCTTAAATGTTTATATTTGATGGATTTCATCGAATGGGGTATCAATCCTTATTTTGTGGCTACTTGCTTCTTAAATTTTTCTTTTTTTTTTCGCCCTTGTGGGCCGAAAGAGAAACATGTACATTCTACTTATGATGGTTGATCTTTTATAGGTTAAATGTCTTAAGGAAATACTTTTCTCTGATGGTGATGAAATTTCAATTACCGGGAAGAATACTCGCCGTATGATGATGCACCTGTCAATTTCTACAGATGATGATATTCAGCGTACCTTATCATTCTTCGAGAAGGTTTCTCAGGCCTCTATCTGTCTATTCTCTTCATAATCATCTAGAGTTGTATTCTTCATGTGGATTTGGTTAATCTCAATTTTTTGAATGCCTATTAACCTTATTGTTTCAAGATAGTTGAGGTGACTATGATTATTTTCATGTTGTAGATGGAAGCCAGGCGTGGAGGGTTAAACATGCTTGATTTTGAAGATGCTTCTTTTCCTTATCTTATTGAGTCATTTCCTCGACTCCTTTTGTGTTCAGTGGAGTCCCATTTGAAGCCTTTAATTGAATTTCTCAAACTGATTGGGGTTTCAGAAGGAAGCATCAGAAGTGTATTCCTTTCTTTTCCTCCCATTATTTTATATGACATTGAGAGGGAAATGAAACCAAGGATGAGGAATTTGGAAAAGGTATTCGGTATTTTTTTAATAATTTTACACTTTGATGTTGCTATACACTAATATATTTATTAATGTGTGATGCATCCTGAGATGTACAATCCTTTATATATTTATTAATGTGTGATGCATCTTGAGATGTACAAACCTTTCAGCAATGATTTTTTCCTACAAATTTTCTCATAGATCTTACTGCTAATTTTTTTAATAATTATTCGTACATCTTTTTCATGCTTGTATGACTATCTTGCTCTAGAGTTGAAGTTCATGTTATATGAATCATTTTACATGTTTTATTCCTGGTTTTTAATTTTTCTGAGGTAGCTGATCCTAAATAGTTTGGGAAAAGGCTCTGATCATGATGATGATGATCTAATCATGGGTTTTGTAATTAATAAGTTTCTTTTTGTCTGTTTTTCTTGCTTCATATATATAGTCATAATACAGTGTTTTTTACTGTGGTGTCCCTTTATATTGCAGAACTATGAGGGTCTTTTTGCTGCATTTGTGTACACTAATACATTCATTTGTTTCCATTTCCTTTTTTATAGCTTGGATTTGACAATAAAGATATTGGTAAGATGATTCGCAAATACCCATGGATTCTTTCAAGTAGCATCCAGGCGAACTATAGTAAAATTCTTGCCTTCTTCAGTACAGAAAAGGTACCAATCTAGAGCCTTATAAGTCATTCTCTTTTCTGACACATCTGGCAACATTAATTCCTAAGGGTCCGAAAGACACTTACACACAATATGATGATAATGATGCTTATTTAACAATCTAAATTAAGTGACTGCCCTGTTTTTGTGATTTCACAAGTGAAAGCTCTTTGTACTTTCAGCAAGTTCTGGTTGTGCTTTTCAGGTTTTTGGTTTATATAAGGTTTGTGTACAGAGGCCAATGCCTGCCTAAGGAAATTTCTCATCCCTTTTGAGTTGTATATGAGATTTCTATTTTTTGTGTCATTGTGGTAGTCCAGAAAGTAAATATGTTAATATGTAGGTACCTAAATTATATGTTGATGGCGCGATCAAGAGTTGGCCCCATATCCTAGGATGTTCCATTAACAGGATGAAGTTGCTAGTTGAACAATTTGGCGAGATGGGCGTCACAAATGATAATTTGGGTCGTGTCATTGCTTCATGCCCCCAGTTGCTTCTGCAAAAGCCTCAAAATTTTGTCATGGTTAGTAAATCGAAGAGTTTGTTGTCATATGCTTGTTTATCATCTTGAAACGATTGCATTTTCTTTTATCAATACGTCAATTGAATTAAAAAGGGGTATTTCTGTGTGCACCAACTAACATTTATCAAAGCAGCTTCCATGTCACATCTTTGTCACGTTTTTCAGCTCTCATGGCATTTTTCTCATCAATACATAAAGGTAGAGGTTTGAATAAGGTGTCGACCTTATACTATTGAAGTAAGGTGCACCTCAAAACTGTGCCGACAGATGCAGTGTTGGTGCTGGAAAGCCTTTTGATGCATGAAGATCTATTGTCACCCCTAATTATGAAATTTAAAGCTCCTAAAATGATGCCGATCGAGCAGATATATAAACTATTAAAATTTTTGAAAATAAATGTTCCATATAATGCGTTAAAAGATGCACTACTTTCATATCTTGAAATCTTTTTCTTTTTTTATCCATGCATCTTAATGTTGAGATGATCAATTTGAGGGTTTTTTTAGTATCGGAACAACCTTTTCTGATGGATTTTTGAGGTGTAAACCTTACTTGAATAGTGTATGGTTGACACATTATATAAACTTTTTTGATACATAAAATTTAGATTTCATGTCGTCCTATATTGTTCAACTTTTTTTCTAATTATAGTGGTATACAGATGTTCTGAATATGGAAAGGGAAAGCTTTTTTATTTTTTCCCAAAACAACTAGAAAATGACCCCTAAAACAAAGAGAATAAGAAAATTTTTTCCAGTATGATTAAAAGTTTTAAAATGAAAGGACAGAATTTTTTTTCTAACTAAAATATCTTGAAATAATGAAAAAGAAAATAAAGTTTCTCCAATCATAAGAAAATTCTTTTTTTTCCAACTAAATAGAGGAAACCTTCGAGTAAATAAACCAAAAATAGTTATTTATAAATAAATTACAAACTTTAAGAGTAAGATAAATTTCAATTTTCTGTTTAATAGTGAAGAAATTAGAAAAAATGAAACAAGCTATTTTGTTTCGATAGAGAACTATTTGAAAAAGTGAGATCTTTTAATTATATATAAAAATTAAAAATAATTGAAAAGACAAGGGTGCTCCAAATGTTATGAGCATATGAGAAAATTCTACCAAGCTATTTAGAAAAACGATGCAGGGATGTGACATAGGGCATTCTTTCAGTAATATTGCCAGGTGCATATAGGAAACCCCAAGAAAATGGCAAGGGGGATAAAAACAACAATTTGGGTCGTATAAATGTTTTGAGTATTTAATTGTGTCTATGAGAGCCTAAAATTCACCGAGATTAGTACCTCTCAGAGTTTGTTGTCTTTTGTCTTTTATATTCTTGAAGAATTAAACTGTCCTTTTTTATTAAACAAAAAATATGATACAATTAGGGAATAAGTATTTCATAAAATTGCTCGAATCTCAGTTCTGCAGAAGCTTACATAAGGTTTGTTAACTTGGAGAGTCTTTTGTTGTACTTGTCCATCATTTTAGGAGGTCAAATGTTTCTGTATTTTGCAGTTCAATATTTTTTTTATGATTGACCATGGAGAATAGGGTATAAACAAAGTGCTATTGTGGTAAAAACCCTCTAAACTAGGTTGCATGAGTATCGGACAGTTACAGTCATGCACACATGATCATAAACAAAAGAAGTCTTATAATCTCTTAAGTAAATTAATTTACCCCACTTTATCATCCCCCTCATTCAAAGCGTATGTGGTTGCAAATGCCATTGCTTTCGATCTTTTTCTCATTTATAGATAAAGTTACAATACATTAACTCCAGATGACATCCTGTAATGGAAGTGGTAAATGTTGCTATAAAACTATGTGAAATCATCCCTTCTATGAAGGCATGGATGTTTTCTCTCACCAAACTTATCATCCCCTCTCTCATCTCTTTTTCCCTTGGGATGGGGTTTTGGTGTGTCAGATGCACCTGTTCAAATGTGGTCCCCTTCGAGAAACTATAATAGAGATAGATTTTGAATGTAAAATTTCACAGGTAGATAATTTCGACCACTACGATCATGATTCTTAAAAAATTGGTTTTTGAATTTTAGATGTGTAACTTTTTTGTACTTTATTTTTGGACCATTCATTGTCGTGCATTCTAATTCTTCTTTGATCATCCGATGTGCACCAGTTTTTGAGCAGCAAAATCATGGATCTAAAGTGCAAATATAACTAAAGTGACTTAGGATGTGTTTTAGATCCTAAATCCATCACAAGATGGATTTTTGGTAGGACACCACATTTGAACAGGACTTCCCTTTCCCTTTTTGACAAGGATATCTCCATCCTGTGCTATATGAGTATTTGATACTATTTATCTATGGTTTTGGGATCCAAAATCCATCTTAACATTTTGCATACATTGGATAATATGTTTTGCAAATCCGCTATTTGCAGCTACATCAGTCAGTTTTTCAACGTTTTGCCCTACTCCTAGTGCTTTTACCTTCAGAACCTAAATTTTTTACCTTTACAAATGGCAGTAAGTCTGGCAATTTATCTTCAAAATGTAGCTTTTTTGCCGTAGTTTTGATTTAGGAGGGACTTGAGCATGTCCCATCACCTATTCTGATCTAGCTAGGGCAGTTCCAAGTCAGATCAGCATTTTTTAAAACACTGGTGATAACCATGAGTTTTTTCTTACTTCTAGGCTGGTAGCCTTTTTCACCAAGAGTTGCTTCTTATTCCATCAAATATTTGAAGATTTTTTAGTTCGTCGATACAGCACTGTGCATGTGTGCAATTTAGTGTGCATTTCATAGCATGCACATACATTTTCATTATCACGAGCATTACATGTGTTTAATCAATAGTTCATAATCTAATGGACGATAGGAAAACTAGTCATTCGGATTCATGACTGTTTGGTGTAAGTGTCTCCCTCCATAATCCATCATGTTATTAGGTGGAATGATCCAAATGGACTATGTTTTTCCATGGTCCATTGCATTATACTATACTTTCCTGTTATTTAATAGGTGATATTGCTTTTTGCATTTATAATTTATTCGTTCTGTTATTTAGGTGGTTTCCTTCCTTGAGGAACTGGGTTTTAACTGTGAATCCGTCGGGAAAATTTTGAGCCGCTGCCCTGAAATATTTGCAGCCAGCATCGAAGGTACCCTAAAGAAGAAGATCGATTTCCTTATCGCATTGGGAATATCCCATGACCATCTCCCTAGGATCATTCGAAAATATCCAGAGCTTCTCGTTTGTGACATTCATAAAGCATTGCAGCCACGGTGAGTACCCCAAACTTGAAATAATATGCCAAAGCAACATGATTTCACAATTGTGAACCATGAAAAATTGTTGTTTAATTTGAAGACGAAGTCTTTGTCATTCAATGAACTTGTTGAAGAGTCAATAGAAATTGATGGAATTTTAAATTGCTGTCTAGTCTCAACCACCAAGGTTGCTAAAGTCATCAACCAGTGTGTTTCGGTTTGATGCCCCAATTTTTCCTTCTTAGACATAATAATCATCAATGCTATCTTATACTTTTGAAGAAAAATCATCATCATCTAATTGTTGTTGTTACTGTTGTTAATTTTGATGGAATTCATTGCCGCAGGATGAAGTACTTGATGAAGGTTGGCCTGACCAAAAGAGAGGTGGCCTCTATGATACACAGGTTTTCTCCTTTGTTAGGGTACAGTATTGAAAAAGTGTTGAGACCAAAGCTAGAGTTCCTTGTGTACACCATGCACAAACCAGTAAGAGACGTTGTAGATTATCCAAGGTACTTTAGTTATTCCTTGGAGAAGAAAATCAAGCCAAGGTTTTGGGTATTAAAGGGTAGGAATGTGCAGTGTAGTCTTAAAGAGATGTTAGGAAAGAATGATGAGGATTTTGCATCTGATTTTATGGGGATAGGCCGAATGCTTGTCCCCCCTGTCTGAGGGCAATATATGAGCAGTTTTGATGAGTTGTTTTGAAATTAGTTTTTGTGTGCGTGCTCATGTATGTCATTTTTAGACATCCATGCATGTCTTTAGGGCTGTGGCATGCGTCAGTTTTTGATAAAAATCTTGATAAGTAAAGCTGTGCTGCCTTTCCTCATTGAAACTCCTCATACGACTCTTTGCTTGACCAAGAATGCAGAAAGGTGCCTTCAGTGTTTCAAGAGTCGGACACAGGCTCCAACCTGCTAGGTCCTGAGCCTGAGTCCCACCAACTCGAGCAAGTATGATTGGGAGAGGGGAGCTTTTCATTAAAAAAATTTTTTAAAAAATTGAGATAATGGGACTTGGGCGATTACTAGGTTTTTTTGGGCCTAGAGGCTCCCAATCTAGTCTTTGTGGGAGAGTCTTAAGTAGGACTAACTATTTTTTTAAAAAAGAGGTTTATATAAGGTTGCAACCTTCCTTAGTAAGGGTACACTAATCTTTACCTGAGGTTATGCTAATCTATATTGTTCATCTTACGATGGTGCATATTTAAAACTATTTTAACAAAAGTGTCAGTTTTTAATTGTCATAAAAGTCCGACAAATGTCTACTATCTAACTAAAATGGATGGTGTACAACATCGCAACTTCTGTAAGTATGGTTATCACCATATATAAATTGCACCATTTTTTAAAAACACCGGTTGTTTTAGATCTTTAGTAACAATCATTATCTCTTTCTTTTGTTTAAAGCTGCACAGTCACTTTTTATTGAGTATGGTTATCACCATATATAAATTGCACCATTTTTTAAAAACACCGGTTGTTTTAGATCTTTAGTAACAATCATTATCTCTTTCTTTTGTTTAAAGCTGCACAGTCACTGTTTATTGATGAGGAGTGACATGAATGATCGCTTGTGTGCCACATTATATTAAGGTGATCTAGACAATAAACCTGTAAAATTTAGATTAAAAATCTATCACCATGATATATTTTGAGAGGACGGACTCACTATAAGTATCTCGAGTCCAAAATGCATCGAAATTAATTATCTATTATTATTTTTATTTTTTTTTGGTTTTTGGGGGTAATTAAGTGGGGAAGACATGCCCACTTGCTTTTCAAGCAGATTAGGAGTTAGTTTTTTGAAGCTATTAGTGGGTCGGTGTTAACAGTGGGAATGTAAATCACAACGTGGTCTATTAGTGCGTTGGTGTTAGTAGTGGGAATGTAAACCACAATGTGGTCTATTAGTGAGTTGGTGTTAGTAGTGGGAATGTAAACCATAACATGGTGACTAGGGTGTAGAGGGCTACCACCACGACCCAAGTCCTTTTTTCTTCATTATTTCTCTCCATGTCAAGTTTCGTTATCATCATCATAGCTTTTTTCCAATTAATTAGTGTCAGCTACACGAATCATAGTTGTCATTATGTTCTATTTAAAGCTATACCCTCTATACCTTCAGTGAGGCCATAAGTCCTCATATCTTTTTGGATTACTTCCAACCACATTCATTTGTCCCTTTTGCCCTTTTCAATCCTTCTGCTTAAACTAACTCATACTTCCTAACATGTGTTGTACTGGGTTGACGTCACACATGGCCAACGTACTTAAGCCTACTCTCTTTCATCTTATCGCCTATTGGTGCCACAACTAAACTTTTCCCAAATGATTCATTTCGGATACTAGCCTTTCTTGTCTTGTTTCGCATTTATCTCAATATCTTCATCTCCACTACGTCCATTTTATAGGTATATTATTTTTTGTCCGTCCAATATTCTGTCTCATAATGCAAAATTGGTTTTATTGCTGTCTTCCCATGCCAACTTTTCTTCAATTATACTGCACATTGCTTCCCATTGCTAATTTTAGTATTAGTACGTGCTGCACTCTGTTTCCACATGGTTAGTATGATATTGTCAATATGATTTGCTGTTAATCTAGTATTCATTATTTTCCAATACTAGGATTGTTGTTAATGCGTGCCAATCTTTTATGTACTACCATTATTATATTGACAAAGTTTATATAGGGTTGGAAACTTAAAATGTTGAGTTAAAAATGCACCTCAAAATTCCATCGAATAAGGTTGTTTTAATGTTGATAAACCCTCTAATAAATCATCTCGACATCGAGATAGATGAATTTTAAAAAATATTTTGAGTACTAGAAATTGTGCATCTTGCAATATATTATCTGGATGGTTCATTTTCAAGATTTTCATATGTTTATATATCTACTTGATTTTAACTTTTTTTTGGAGTTTAAACTTCTATAATGAGATATAAAAATAGATTTTGAGATGATCCTAAGAATTTTTTTACACCAAAATTACATGTTATGATAAAATGTGGAGTTGCGCCTTAATTGGATGTTTAAGGTTGCAACCTTATAGAAACCAAATCCTTATATTATTGCTTTTTAAATGAGCTAACATTTGTATTTTATGTTTGGAAAAAAATTATATAAGGTTGATGCCCTAAACAATCAAATTAAGGTGCACCTTAAAAAATCTCTAGAAGTAGTTTCAATGCTGAAAAGCCCTCAAATTTGATCATTTCGACCTTGAGATACGTAGACATTAAAAAAAGAATGTAAAATATCTCCATATCCATTATTTTTAGATTTTAAATAAACCCAAGGTTTCAAACAATATCTTCAAATGAGCTAGCTACTTTAAACCTATATTTTAACCTAAACAAATGTAAGAAAGACGTACTATTTCTAAACCCAATCCCTTCTCTCCTTTTATTTATATACACCAAACTAATCTCTTTCTCTCTCTTGCTCCGTATTTCATTCTCTCTCTCCACCCGTGTTTATCCAAACACTTCTCTCTTTCCCCCAAACACCTCTCTTCTTCCTCTTGTTTATCAAAATATCTCTTTCCTTCCAAGTAACCTCTCACCATCAAACATCTCTCTCTTCATGTGTTTATGCAAACCTCTCACCACCAAGCATCTTTTTCCTTCCGTATTTATTCAAACACCTCTCTCCCTTCTGATGTTTATCCAAACACCTATTTTTCGCCTCTCCTCTCGATAACTTCTAACCACCAAACACCACCTTTCTCTCTCATCTCCTCCCGATAACCTCTAACCACCAAACACCACCTCTCTCTCTCCTCTCTTCTTGGTAACCTCTAACCACCAAACACCTCTCTCTGTTGCTGTATGAGGGGAGGGAGGAGAGAGAATGAAGGGAGAGAAATGGGAAACGTGAAGAGAGAGAGAGTGGGAGGAGAGATTGAGGGGTTAGAGATGGGAAAGAGAGAGAGAGAGAAGCGAAGAGGTGCTGGTAGAGAAAAAGAGAGAATTTTGAGAGGATGACTTTTAAAACAGGCATGTCTTTTTAGATTTGTTTGGCTTAAAAAAATAAGTTTAAAGTAGCTCAGGGGATTAGAAAAAATAAAATCTACAATTTTTATGTCTTAATATATCTTTTAAAACTTTAGGTCTATTGTAAATGAAACCTAAAAATATGGAGTATTGAGATATTTTTCCTAAAAAAAATGGGCTAGTACATATAGTAATACATTATCTAGATAGTTAATTTTTAAGATTTTCAAGTGTTCATAGATCTGTTTGATATGCATTATTTTTTAAACCAAAAATTTTATAATTAAAAAAATAAATAAATTTTCATTCCATTATAAAGATTTTCAGAGCAGAAACTACAAGTTTCAATACTATTTGAAGGCACGCCTTACTTTGATTGTTTAGAGCCTCAGCCTTATACAACCCACACCCTTGTATTAGCACTTTCCAAACAAGAAAGTAACGCTTATATTTATGTTTTATTTACTACCTATTATTATAGTATTACTTTCTAAATGAGAAACATATAGGTTATTTTTGGGTGGTGCCAAACACACTGAATCTTTGCTTCCCATAACAAAGACACGAATATTGGAGAGGGTTTTATAATTCTCGCAAGCCATGAACTCAAACGGATAGTAAATAATAAACAATAAAGAAAGAAGAAAAAGTGCAGAAAAGAACCATATTTTGTTCCACTGTCTCCATTGTGCGGGGCAAGGTTGTATGGTATTGTGCTCGTGCAAAGCGTAAAACAATGTTGAGAAACTCGACTCGTTTCTCGGGCACGGAACTCGGCCTTGTAATGTAGTTAGTGACTCAGCTGAATGCGTGTACAATCCAAAATAATAAAAAAAAGTTAAAAATAAGAAAGAACATAAAAGGGTAAGTAGAAATCATTAGAAGGGTCAATGATGTCACATCCTTTCTAATGACCATAAATATCTTTATTAAAAAAACCTCTATGTACAAAACAATGATATATAAGTGTCCAAATTTATTGGGTACAATGATAAATTACTTCATAATGTGAGTACCCTAATATAATCCATATATATATATATAAAGAGGAACTTTAGAGCAGTGAACCTATTGAGGAGGACTTTACAAAGTGAGTTAAGGTTTTGATGTCTTTCCCTATAATAAATGGAAAAGCATATAAAGAGACATTTTACTTTTTGGTATAAGGAGATCACTATCACGCGTATCCCTCAGTATTTCAAATTGGATGATTGTAAGAATTTCATTAACTAGCCTTAAAGTTCAATTTTTTTTTTTTTCATACTTCATGGTTCACCTCGAACCATCCAATTTGACATCTATTGGCTAGAAGTAATCGTGACCTCCTTGTGACAAAGATAACTCATGGTATATAATCAAGGATAGTATACAATGAGACTATACCTTTGGAACAAAGATGTCACAATTACTTATGACCATCCAATGTAAAATCTGATTGCTTGGGTGTGTCACAAACTTCGAAAAAAAATTTATTTTGAACTTTGAGCTTAGTCAATGTCATAAATGCAACCACCCAATTTTACATCTTGTGGTCAAGATTAATTGTGACCACTTGTATTAAAGGTAATTGGTCTACTTCCGCACCATCCCTACCTTATATACCATAAAACCTAATTACATGTGCAAACTCTCCTTTTAATAAATATTTTATCTTTTCTTAACTAAATAGTACATGTATTGGTTGGAAGCACCGACTGACTCTGCCATTTATTGGAAAACTAGTAGTAAATCAATTTTTTTTAAGGATTTTGATTACTAAAAAAATATTATGGCATTTTCTTGCTTGTTATGTTTTTTATATGATTCGTTATAAGGCCAGAGCAGTAATG